GGCACCTGCGCCGTCTGCGGGGATAATGCCGCCTGCCAGCACTACGGGGTACGGACGTGCGAGGGCTGCAAGGGCTTTTTCAAGGTGAGACCTCAGCGCTTCTCTCCACTCCCCGCTTCCCCACATCCTCCCCTCCCTCCCTTCCTGCCCTCCTGGTCCTCGCATGGGGGTTCGGGGGCAAGCTTGGAGATCCCCACCAGGGTGGGATGGATGCCCATCCTAAGTTTTTGAAGAAGCCAGCCCTCTGTAGGATAGAAGAGTCAGCCATTCTCGGCTGAGAAGGGGCCATGGCAGTGAGCTGGGCAAACCAGGTGTGCCAGCATCCCTCAACGGGAGCACAGGCCGCCCCTCTCGGAGCTATAAGCTGCGCTTGTTCCGTAGCGAAACTCACCTGGAATGCATCCAGCCCGGGTTTCACTCAGTCACTTGTCCCATTTAAACCTCATTTTCAAGTGAGAACAGAAATCGTAAAGTCCGCTTGGCGTTGTAGCTGGCGGCGGTGCCATGTGTCACCCTGGGAGGGTTGGGGTGAGGAGGGCGCCATGACTGGGACAAACCCAGGCACTTTCTAGTGTTCTTCAGTCGGTGTCTCTGGGTCACTCTTCAGCTCAGGAGCCCAGTGAGCCCTCACCAGTGGAGAGCTGCTTGCAGAGGAGCAGCGGCTCAGCACGGCACAGGGTCCCGGTGGCCTGCTCGGTCACGCGGGAGGCTTTGCCGCTATATAGCAACACGAGAAACTTATATACAGCAGTTTCTCGGCGGAAACTTTGTGCATACGCTTTTAAGATTTGAATACTCTCTTTTCGCCCTGAGATTTGGGCGCTTCGTAATTTCCTTTCAACACATTTAGCTCAGAAACCGATGTTGTTTCCAGAATAAGCTTGTTTAAGTGAAGAATTTGGGAGAGACTTTTGGTGGGATGGTTCTGGGCAGTAGGTTTAAGATTTGATACATTTGGGGTTGATCTGGTATATTCCTTCCTGCAAAGACAGCAGTCATGCCTCTGTTCTAGTAAAAGATACAATGGGAACAAAAATAGTCCAAAAAATAGTTGGGGGGGGGAGGGCTTACAACATTTTTTTTTTTGGTCGTACACAGAGCTGCTAATGTTACTTAATAATAATCCTTTGGCAACATGGTAAAATACACGTCTCCTGTAAAACTCATTTGTTATTTAAATACAATTAGAAAAGGAAACACAAATAATGTGGAAAGAACAGCTCTTATGGGCCCGATCCTGCCCCTGTGGAAATCAATAGCATATCCTTGACTGGGAGCAGTATCTAGAGCTTATGCTGCAAAATTAAACAGATTTGAGCTCTAAAGCACAATGAACAATATTTGCTGTGTCTTATACTCAGTACATTGAGGCTGTTATTTGAAAAGAAGCACAAATGATGAAATAACATTTTTCCATTAATTTAATTGCAGTGAAAGATTTAATATTGAATGTTGAGCTGATAAATTTGTTCCTGTTCTGATGTCTTTCCTATTAATGTCTTTTTTCGTGTGCTGAGTTATTTATTGATGTGTCTTTGATTTTAAGTATGGAAACACATAATACATTTTTGCATCAATATTTGTTACATTCTGCCAAGGCTTACCAGGTTTTTACAAATTGTAAATTTATTGAATAGTTTTAAGATCATTTTAGAGTTAATCACCTGTATATAACTACAGTGTAATTCCATCTATTTTTTTCCCAGGTCAGGTTAGCTTTCCCAGAATATTTAACTAAACATATTTTGTAGAGGTTTCTTGTATTTTTATTTTTCTCCCTGATGATTTTAATGGCTAACCAAACCAGTTATTGTGGTATTTGACTAACAATAATGATAGTAAGAGAAGTACATCGCAGATCATTTTGATTTTATTTTAATAAGGTCAGCAATAATCAAGGGAATGAACCAAGTAGAAAATTGTTCCCAAAGGGATATTAAAAGCGGAGATAATCTAATCCCCAAAGGTAGATGCGATGACCTGGTAATTTCAGATATGATTTTATCATTCAAAGTTGCCTGTCTCCAGAGACTTGCTTCAGAACAATCCTAGATGATTTTCATTGTCAGCAGCTAACACTAATAAAATTGTTTTTCCTGCAGGCTAGTGTGTTAGGAAATTAATTTTATCTAATTATATGAATTGCACTGTCGCTTTTCGTGTTGTAATTAAAACACATTTTGTCAGGTTCTAAGTTGTTCAAGAAACGATCAGTTTACTATTTTTGTGTTGCATTTTCGCAGAGAACAGTTCAGAAAAATGCAAAATATGTTTGTCTGGCAAATAAAAACTGTCCAGTGGACAAGAGACGTCGTAACAGATGCCAATACTGCCGGTTTCAGAAGTGTCTCAGCGTCGGCATGGTTAAAGAAGGTAAGGACTATTATTGCTATTATTATCTCAAAGACTGAAATACTACGTTTAATGAATCTGTGTATGTGTGTGGACATGGATGCCGTTAGAATGAATTTTACAGTGATGGGATTCATAACTTACCCCAAAATATGTGCATTTGTGTAATAATGTATTGATTTTCTTCTTTTCACCCATATTATCATATTTAGACTTTAGACCCCAGAGTTCAAGAACAGCAAGGTCACGAGAGGATAATTTGACACTGGCCAAAATGTCTCCTTTATTAACTTTGAACGTTGCTCGATAATGCCGTTGACTTCCCCCTGTTATCTCACCGGGGGCTACACTGGGTTGTGTGCATTTTGACATAGGATCTTGTCTCATTCCCATAAGCTGATTGTAAATTTGCAATTAATTTAAATGGAAACAGGATCAACTCATTAGTTCCAATTCTGCAAATATTTAAGTACGTGAGTAATACTGTGTGAGCAGTCCCATTGCGAATACTAACAGGGATAATATAACCTATATAGCGTGACTGGATTTTTTCAAATGCTTCAAGAAAGCTAAAATTACTTTGAATGAACGACTCTGCCATTTAAAAGGTGCACTAGTAGTAGGAACATTAGAATTTGTGTTTCACATTAAGTTTTCTTTCAGCAGTAGAGTGTTTGTGTGTGTGTGTGTGTACGTGGACAGGCACACCACGAGTGCATAGACGTGCTGCAAACAAAGCATGAACACTGGGAACACAGCTGGGCTTTAAGTAAGCAGCTACATCGCTGCGTATGATCATAGGTCTGACGCAATTTTGGTGTCATTTGCGTTCCTTTGCAATCAAAGGCATCAAGAGCATGTGCTGAAACGAGAATACTCTTATTTTTGCCAGCCTGGCCACCATCAGAAAAGCAGGTGTTCACTCTGATTTGTCGTTTGCTGATATCTTCACAATGGATCCCCCCCCCCCCCCCTCTGAAAGGGAGAAGAGGTCGGCTGCCTTCCAAACCAAAGAGCCCCTTACAGCAAGAACCCTCTCAGCCCTCCCCGCCTTCTCCTCCCATCAGCATGATGAACGCCCTCGTACGAGCTTTAACCGACTCCACGCCCAGGGAGCTTGACTATTCAAGAGTATGTCTCACTTTTCTTTGCCTGTTTGTTTTCTACGTAGAAATGATTCACGAACTGCATTTCTATTTCCCAGCCGGTTTGCTAAAATGAACTTAAATGTGAAATTTGGATGAGGGTAGAAATTTGTCCAGCCAGCCGTGTCTTTTCATGGTAGGTGGATGATGAGGGGAAAAGGAGGTGCAGTAGAAATTGGAGTTAGTAACTATTCATTGTGAGGATCTCAAGCACAAAGTTATCTGCAGTATATTCCATGGGTGAGTGAAAGCAAAAATGTGTGGATAAATAGAGCATTCTTCTTGCAAAAGGCTGTGCCAAAACACATGTAGCAATTACAATATGATCAATTAAATCTACCAAACTCAGGAGCAGTACTCATATGTCCGGTATTTTAATTTCCAGGTTCTGAAGGCTAAAATCTAAAAACACTTCCCTAACATTCAGATATAAGGGTTGTGCAAAGCAACACTGGATGGATAAGTCCATTTCTATTGACATCAATAGGATTTATTTAAATGGGACCAGGGCCTGGATTTGGATACTCCAGCATTAATATTTCTTCAGTAAAATTCACATTTGTAAAACAAACCTTGTAAAATCAGAATTCTAAAAAATATCTCAGCAAAACTTTAGCAGAGATTATATATATTTTTGAAACCTTGTTCTTTACTGTATGATATTCACCATTTAAATATTCAGGGAATATTTTGAAAGCTTAAAAAACTATTCTATACTTATTAAAATAGCATTGAAATGGCTTCTTAAATACATTTTTAGGCAGGTTGATATGGAAAAAAAACACGGCTAAGAAAAAACAAGATCAAATTCCTTCCCCTTAATGAAATATGACTAAATCTGAGACTGTAAAAAATACAGCTGTACTCAGACAACATACATTGGCCATTTATCACTTGTTGCTAAGTAATATTTAATACTAAAACATATTTGGTTGTAATTATATGAAAATTACATTATTCTATTTTAGACTATACTTACATATATCATTTAGCAATTTTAAGCGTGCTGTAACGTCTTCTCTTCAACCTAATCTGTAAGTATACAATCATATAATTTTCCAAATTATTGTTAGGAATCTAGCTGTTCAGTACCTGACAGCCTTTTAGGAGGAGAATGCATTAGCCATATTTACACGTATTTTAACTTACCCAGAATGTCTCCAGGGGTCATTCTGCAAATACCAAGGTGTGTGCTGAGCTATGCTCTTTGACAGAAATCTGCTGGGTTCCATAGAATTGCAGGCATATTCTATGGCCTAGGCCATGAAAGCAGTATCTAACCTTATATATTTATTTATAGATATAAAGTTCTTTTGCATTTACAAAAAAAGAATGAAAACTGCATATTTTTATGTGGCTTTTTTCCTTGGCTTGCAGTAATTATTTCTCTTTTAATGAAAACAGCCCATAGATCTAATTGTTGAACAATTCTGTTGGACGTTACAGGAAGCATATGATTGACAGTAAATTAATTTAGTCTTGGTAGCTAAAAGATTAAGTGTGGTTGTCTGTTAGGACATATTAATATCTAAGTTTTTCTTTACAAAAAAAAACATAGTCTGTTAATGCTCAGCATAAAATATGCTAGAAGAAATTAATAGTTTCTTATGTTTTTCATAAACTTTATACTTATTTTGAAAAGTTAAGAGAGATCAGAAAAAAATGTTGTGTAAAAACTGAGATTAACTAAATGAAATATGCCGTGAACACACTACAATGCTAAAAAATCCTTTTGAAGAATAATCCTGTACCTGTAAAGACTAATCTATGGCACGTTTGGTTAGGCTGTGACCCTGTCGAGCACCACAAAGAGGTAGATCTGGAAACCTGGCTTTGGAGTCAATCCTAACACTTCTGAAGACACGACCTTAATGTTTAGCATGGTCTTCATGTTTACAAGCCGTAACGTCTTGACCGTCTTAAAAATACTGATAAGAGTTCCAGAGAGGAACATGTACCGCTTCCCTGCAAAAAACCCTACACATATAAAAAAAAAACCCAAACAACCCGAAACCAAAACCAAAAATAAATTCCATAAGCTATGAATTTTAAACCAAAAGAGATTGGAACTGGTTCTGTTCAGCACATAGTTACTTTTCATTTCAGTACTGGTTTTAACTTACCAGTCTACAGCAATGGTATATTTAGGTACTTGGTTTCAAAAAGCAATTGCGAGGAAGAGAATTTGGTTCATGAACTCCTTAAAGGCCAAGGGCCGCAGTCCGGTCTCACACCTGTTTTACTGGTACAATTCCATGAGTTTACACTTCTCAGTAAGTGAGATGAGAAACAGACCCCATATATTGCTGTCCTTACACATGCAAGAATAGCCACCAACTTAAATAGAAATGTTGCCTATTTGGAAGGAGCGTGCAGCGTTTAGGTTATAATCCCCTCCTTCCCCAGCCACAAAATAAGGCAAATATTGGGGCCTTTGGAAAAACAAGCATAACTTCTCCTCTGTGCAGAGAAGTTATTGTTAGGCTTTTGCAGCTGCAGCAGTTGATGAAGGTCTGATGAAAGCAGGCAAAGGGTAGAGGTAGGTTGTGCTGTCAGGATCCCCAACGTCAGACTTTCCCCATCTCTTTAGATACACCGTACAAGTTAATGTTGCTTGCTACTCGTGAAATCCTCTCCTTGAGTAACAGTCGGGTTTCATTTAATTCCCAAAAGAGCTCTGAGCAAGGGAGGAAGGCAGAGCTTTGTCTTCTGGCTTTCTCCCGGGGTGCCTCCAGTTTGCACAGGGCAGGTTCAGAAACGCAGATCGGTGCCCTTCCGTACCGTGGCCTCCTGACCAAGGGCAGGCTTGCCAGCTGTCTTGGTCAGAAGTCAGGTCAAATATCACCTCTTCTCAATGAAATAATCACGGAAAAACCCACAGATTTTGGTGCATAAAACAGAACTGTGTGTATTTTCTGTGGTTACTTATGTGCTCATAAGTCTTTTACAACTAAATAATACTTTATTTTAGCTATTCTTTGTACTAACTCTTCGTAGTGAGCAGTGACATATTACAGTGGCTAAAAATTATAAAATTCCATATAATTTTTCACCTTTCTTCTAAAACTGCTTGCATTGGGATAAACTATAACAACAAATACAGGTTGTAATTTTTTTTAGATGCACTTAATTTAATTAAGTGCCCCACGTGGTGTATACTGTACTGTAGCATTCACAGTTAAGTGACATAATACAGCATTCAGCTTTGTTAGAAAATGTTAAAACTTTGCCTTCCTTTTGCTAAAGGAATGTTTTATAAATATTGGGAACAAATTAATACCTGGCATAATTACGCTAACTTGTGATGAGTTATATTTAGAATGAACTCAGGGTAGTATCTTTTTTCTTTTCCTTTTCTTTTCATTCCTCTTCACCACTCAAAGGATCAAGAATGTGTCTTGCCTTAACAGTACCTATGGTGAGGCAGGAGTTTCCATCAACCTGTTTGTTTCCCCGTGTATAAAGGAGTCGTAGGTCAGCCCCTGCACAGCAAAGCACATCTCCCAGAGCCAAGACGCGCACTGTCTTGGCTTGCTCCACAGCTTCATTTTAAGAATGTCCAGAACATGTAAGGTCTCTGGAGAAGCATATGATCTTTTTCTGCCCACTAATCACCCCAGCGCATCTTGCTGCAGTCCAGTTCCAGTAGTTAGTTCATGCTATTTGAGCACCCTCAATGGCTCCGTTCAGACAGGGGACTGAACATGTAAATAATGCAGCATACAGATTTTTCTACTGCTGCTCCCCATCCTCTCTGTATTTTGGTCTCTACCTGCTTCACTGTCACAGGATCCTTCAGAGTAGCTGGTGCAGAATTTGTCTCCACGCGAACTTTATAAGAGGGATTGCATGTATTTCGCTTGCTGACTAGGGATATGAGCTGAAGCTTACCATGAGAAACTCAGGCAGTTAGTGCTGGCTAAGCAGAATAGAGTCATTCAGGGCTAGCACCAGAACCCCAGATAAGGCCAGAGATCTCTAGGATTGCTATGGTTCTCCAGTCAGTCAGCAGCTCTGACACTTCATCCCTTACATGCCAACAGCAACCAGCTCCAACTAGGACAGGCAGAGAACAGGACACCCACCTGAAAAGTTCTGCTTGCTGCCCCCCCTCCTCTTTCCTGCACAGAGGTGGCTTTTGGGTCGCAGTTAGCAACTTGGGTGACATCTGCAGCGCAAGTGGCATGCCTGTAATAAGGTCTTCCCAGGCTGCCAGCCCACTGTCACTGATCAGGAAAGAGATGTGGGTCTTTGTGCTTCCACTCTGGCTTGGGGAGTTGCTAGGGAGACCTGTAGGCTGACGGACTCAAGCCCTAACTGCGTGTGGAAAGTCATTTCCAAAGGGTATGCACACTTCTTTCAGCCATGGAGACCACCCCAACCTTTCCTTGCCTGAGTCCCAGAGAGAGACTGGTTATGAAGTTTCTCCCAGAAATAACCCACCAGATGTCCGATGGCAAGGATGTTGTTACAATAAAACCCAAATTATTCAGTTCCTGCTCAGAAAACCATCAGTGCTTTCCAAGCACAGCATTGGACTAAGCCACGAAAGCTCCTGTTGTATTTTCTGCTGAGAGAGGGAGAGAGAGCAGCGCCACAGGAGTGACAGGGATCCACTGGTGAGGAAGTAGGAGACAGCTGAGGACAGGAGGGAGCTGTCAGAGGGCCACGGGGAAGCTGAGCAAGCTGAGCCTGTCGAATGGTTGTCTGGAAAGAGTTATGGCCGCATCAGCAGGATAATAGGTTCTCCTGAACTGTAAATGCTTCTATTTGAAGGATAAGAGGTGATACGGGGCATCTGTTTTATTTTGAACCAATTCTGTATTCAAATGAAGCAATGCTGCATGTGTCAGATAAAACATGATTTATCTTACTTGTCTCTATCACCGTCAGATAAAATGCAGTTGGAGAGATTTTGGAAGAAATCTGCATTTTGGACATACTTATCAATGGGAGAAGTGTTTAATTGTAGTAAGTTAACTAGTATTCCTCGTCTAGTGTGATGGAAATTATTGTACTCACCAGGTTTCTGTTTCTGTTTACCAAGAGCATAAAGGTATTTGTAAACTGTGATAAGGATTATATTTTATTGAAAAAAATTGAAACGATTTCTATATGTGTGGAAATATTTTTGCAATATACCTCTGAACAGTAAAACACCTGTAGGTAGCCAAGTAGGTAGATAGATGTAGACCTACTTATTATGCCTTTGATAATAATACCAGCTTTGCCACAGAAGGAAATGTTGTAGGGTAGGTAGTGCTCTGTGTTTCACAGAATGCCCTTAAATGCGTGTAACGTTGCTTTCTGTGGCTTTCATTTTAGTACTGTTCCACCGATCAGGCTGCTGCAGGCACAGATGCAGAACACGTACAACAGTTCTATAATCTTCTGACTGCCTCCATTGACATAACTAGAGGTTGGGCAGAAAAAATCCCAGGATTTACTGACCTCCCAAAAGAAGATCAGACATTACTCATAGAATCAGCTTTTTTGGAGCTGTTTGTACTAAGACTCTCCATCAGGTAACTACTTCTTTTATTTTCTCTTGAGCTGATGTAAAAAATCATCCATCTAAATATTTTTAAAGAATAAATATGGTGCTATCTGTGAACATTGTCAATTGTACCCAAACCCCCAGAAAACCTCAGCAATGTCTGAATCCACAGGATATGGTATTTAATTTGTTTTACGCTGCAGAAAAACCAAGAAATTGATTTAAAAAGAGATCACAGGTCGCACTAATGTACTTCTTTGTATTTGATATACCCCATCCTTTTCTTCCACAGTAATAGAAACTGATCCTCAGGTACTATTTGAGCAAGTTTGCTTCATACTCATCAGCATAAACTACAGAAAAGCGCCTTCAGTATGAAAGCTTTTTCCTTTTCCTCCTTCTTTGCGCATGTGCATCTTTGTCGTCTGTTTTTGAAGAGGATGAAGAAGATTTAAAATCTTATGCAGATTGTTTTTCATTTTTAATACCAAGTCATTTCATAGAGTGAGATGCTATTTGTCAGTCTAGCACCAGTTAAGACGCTTTACCAAAAACACTTTCAGGGACTGGGAAAATTCCAGACTGGTGATTTGAGTTATGCTCTTGTTTCTTTAGGTTGAAAAGGACCTTTGCATGTGGTTATTAACAGGGATATTGGCAATGGGGAGGGGAAGGAGAGGAGAGCTTGGCTGTAGTCTCTCTCTTACACACAGGTTTTCATAGAAAAGATTTTATGATGTTATGTGTATTGTGGTGCATTATTGCATGTATTTTCCATTGTTTTTTTCCTTACCAATTTTTGCAATCTGAAAAATGCAGATGAGACTAAGTAAACGCTGAGAGTTGCAGAATCTCTTCTTTCTCCAGTTTTTATTAGTTTTGTATTTCAAAATGCACTCACTTAGTATTCCTTCAGTTCAAACATACAGTATTTAATGTAAAATGTCTTCTCTGTTTATGCCTTTGGGCAGGACCAAAATCTTAACTAATTAGACAGTCTACACCACATGCTACAGCTAACCTCAGGCTTATAACTCTACCAAGTAAGCAATCATGGAAGCTTGTTTGTTGTACTTTGGCCCCAAGGGAGAAGCATATTGTCAAACGTGAATGCCCACATATGTCTCAGGATAATATGCTTTGGATTTTAAATGACAGACACTTCAATACTGGTTATGCATTTTGCTGTAAAGTAGAAAATGCATTTCTAATTTTTTCAATTATTTTTATTTGAGGTCTGATACTGCTGAGGATAAGTTTGTATTCTGCAATGGACTTGTGCTTCATAGACTTCAGTGCCTTCGAGGATTTGGGGAGTGGCTCGACTCTATTAAAGACTTTTCCTTAAACTTAAAGAGCCTTAACCTTGATATCCCAGCCTTAGCAAGTTTATCAGCTCTAACTATGATTACAGGTAAGTGCTCCTTTGTTAATCAAAAGCTTCAGACTCTAGTGCTTTGCTTTAATGTGGGTTCAAGCAATTTTGGTTAACCTAGCTATATTCAGGGTAAAGTGAGTATGATTTTTAAGCATTGTAATGACCGTTCCGAAATTGTGGACTAACATTAGGCCATCAGATACCCCTGTTAAAATGTAATCTAACTCTCTATTTCTTCATGGTTTCGATGTTTTCTTGGAATTGTCTCTAAAAAGCAAACTGCTTCCAAGCAAATTGCGTAGCTCCTACAAAACCATTCAAAATACTTGCTGAATTCCCAGAAAAGCCTAATGAAATGACCAGGGCTGGGTCTTCTGTGTAGGAATACTAGTATCAGGGTAGCTTGAGAGCTAGAAGCCATACGGCCGGTGTAGCTCACCTCTCACTGAGGTAGCTAGACCAGAAGGAGTGCTTCGTGAGGGCACACAGGCTGCTTTTAGTAGCCAAGCTACTGTAGGTATTGTGTACTGCTTTTTTTGAGAGAGGAAATTGGAGAACAGTAAGAAAAAAATCCTCTTCTGCAGTTGTCCAAAAGCTTTTGGGTGCACATGTGACCATAATGTCAGAATCTGCTGAATCTGGCTAGTAAGTACAGAACGGTGGAGCATAACCTTATAAAGTGTAATTTTTTCATTCCTGAAACAACAAAGCCCCTTGATGTACACATTGGATACCTTGGGCTTCTTGCAGTTTAAGAGGCAAAGCTGGCGGGAGCAGG